TCCATCTTTTATACAGTGCATGAACAACTATGCTTATTGTTCTCTTTACCATTACCTAAACTCTAAAAGTTACATTTGTATACTTTCTTAGCTTGCAGGACAACTATACCTATTATTCATTTTAGCATTACCTAAGCTCTACAGGTTACATTTATTTACTATGTCTGCTTGCAGCTGCAGCTGTGAAGAAGTCTTTGTTTTCTGGAGAATCCTTCTTTGTTTTCCGGGAATAGTTCATCCTTGGGTTTGCAACATTGCTGAGCTTTCCCAGATAGCTTGTCCTTTGGCTGCAACATTATGTTGCAAAAATAACTTCTAAGGCTGAGAAGCTAAATGCCTGAGGCCTACTTCTTAGTTATATGCTCAAAGCTCCCATAAGCCTTTGCTCGACTCTTGCTCGCACAGTGCTCTCTGGGAGCTGTGCCCCTGTTCCCTTAGCCATTCTTCAACATGGACCCAGCACTGACCCCTGGGGAACACCACTAGTGACTGGCCAACAACTGGATGTGGCACCATTCACCACCACTCTCTGGGCCATCCAGTCAGTTCCTAACCCAGCGGAGAGTGCCCCTGTCCAAGCTACGGGCTGCCAGCTTTGTCAGGAGTATGCTATGGGATATCCCCTTTTTCTCACTGATGGTAAATTGTATGCCATGAATCACTGTCTAAATAAGATGGCATTAAAAAAAAGTAGAAATCCGATATGTTTTCTGTAATTCTGGGTATTCATTGATTAAATTAAAAAGTCCATCCATACCTAAATATAGTTATAGTCTTCAGTGGAGGAGAAGAAATCTGAGTTGTCATATGGAGTAACAGTATTTTTCTGGATATGCCACTGTCTTGTGCATCTGCCCCATCCTAGTAAAGGCTGCTTGAGAAAGGAGGGAATCATCTAGATGCTGCTCTTGCAGTCTCAGTTTGTGTGTGCTTCTATGTAAATGGCAATATGTTGATGTTACAGAATTCTATATCAAGTTTTGTGTTGTCTTGGAATATTCTCTTATGCTTTTAGATGTGGAGGATGGAAAGCTGTTTTTGAGCATGTAGTTATAGCTTGATCTTTTTTTTTTTTTTTTATAAAGTAAAATCAAACCCCAACAAAACTCAGCTCATGGAGCTTGTGGCATTTCCTGCTGTGTTCATTTAAATTCAGACAGGAGCAGTGTTTTAGGTTGTATTTGTGCAGCAATACTCTGACAGCTTTCAGACTAACCAGGTAGTAAAAAGACCGTTCCATTGATGCAGTCTTGTTTTACACTAGGAAAGAGCTTAAGCATGCATAGATGTACAGTTCTTCAGATATTGTATAATTTGCAAGAAAGTTTAATGCAGTCCTCCAGAAATGTTGAGGTACTCTTATTTATTTATCTGGCATTCTCCTGTACCTTCCCCCTTTTTTATTCAAAAGGCCTTTAAGGGAGGATGTTTGAGGATGGTGTTTTCAGTGATGGACTTTGCAGCAGCTGCTGTTGGAGGTAAAAGAGGTGAGACACCAGCAGAGGTGCTGTAGCTACAAGGATCTAAAGCCATTGAGACCAGGTATCCGGCCAGCATTTTGTATTTGTGACTGTAATGAAACCTCTGAATATTCCAGAGCCAACGCCTTAGGGAGCTGGGGAGGAGGAGGAGGTGGCCTTGGTAGGTGAATGGTTTCCAAATGTAGGGAAGATGGATTTGTGTTGTGGCGTCTGACTGATTCTCCTTAAGGTGATTTTCATCTGAAAGCTTTAGGACAAATATTGGGGTTTTAAAAAATTGTTTTAATCGTTGTAGCTTATGGGCTAGGAGAAAGGTGATAGGACATACCTTTTTTTGTTTTCTTTCCTTTTTTTCTTTTTTTCTTTCTCTATTTTTTTCCTGCTTTCCCATTTGAATCTCCCTATTTGGCTGTAAACTGCTTTGATTAAATCATGTATTGTAATGCTTTTGGACAGACCCTTGACAGCAGTACAGCTTCAGATGTCTGAGTGGCCTTGACTTTCATGGGAGATCACTGCCCTCTGACTGAGGGGGATAGTCTTGATACAGACAGGTGAACTGGTACTAATCAGGCTTCAGTTCCCATTCCAGGTTTTCTCTCAACTGTATTTTCACCTCTTAGTATGTGCCTAAATGTTCAGAGACTGAAGAGGCAGCCAAGTGTGATAGTGGTGATGAATTTTGCAAGTCGAACTGCTTAAAGTAATCCCAGAGTGTGTCTATAGGGTGTGTCTGTCTTTTTATTGTCCAAAATATCTTTTTGATCCAAATAGTGTGCTGCTTTGCCATTTGCATCTTGCATGCACGTGGCATTTTGATGTGGCCATGTGGTTATGTTTGTCTCCTGAATTCAGGAATTCTTTTCTGTCATAACATGCACAGTAAACCTGATGTTCACTTAGTTCTTGTATTTCTTGTCAGCTGTTCCTTGGAGCGGGAAACTAAGCATTATATTATCAGTGTGATCTAGTTATTTCTCCCACAGAAATACAGGAGAGCTGGAACATGACTTTATTTTTAACTGTTTGAATGTTTTTCTCCAACAGGAACTGTTCTTGTCAGAAGCAGTAGTGGCCAACTAATGCTAGTATCTCAACAAGCAATAGCACGAGCACAGAACCAGCCACAAAATAACGCAAGTGGGAGACCATCTGTGCCAGCCAGCACACCTGCAATCAGAATATGTGCTGTACAGGTAACTTCTCTCATAGCCTGAATTCAAGGGAGCTGTATGTTACGTAGTTATAGCAGGGTTTGCAAACAAGTTATGGAGGGTTAAATAAGCTTGTGAACACTTTCTGAGCAGCATGATGGTGTTTGGTTTTGCATCAATAAACATCACTTTGCTTTCTCAGTTTGGAGAAACTGTTAGCTGTTACATATGGGAAAGTGCAAATTAGTGAGTTCGTCTCTGATGATGTAAACTGTTTTTAAGTGAAGAAAAAAAACCCAACCAAAAACCTACCTAAATGGTTACTGCTAGTAACTGCAACCTTGTGATCCTCTGGTTGGATACTTCTCTAAAGCTGAGTGAGGCTGAGGACCTTTCGTGTGTCTCCAGGATGTTCCTCCTTCCCTGAGCTCTGCTGGCTTTTTGCTGCCATCTCTTGTAATGTGGTCAGCACACAAGAATAAGGAGGTACATAAAAGTAACCATTTACATATTTCTTTAACCATTTTATTCTGATTACACGTTGTCTCTAAACATCTCTGAATCAGTTATTGAATATTAAACTGGTAGACAAGTGGCTTTGAGCAGTGTTTAAACTGTGTAGACTATGTGAATGATGCCTGTGTCATTACTGTAAGAGTATGTGTCTTGGTTTGTATCTGACCCCAACTTCAGTAGCTGTTTTGTCATTGGCTTGTCTGACAACTGTTCTTTGCACATGTATAATTTTATTTTTTTTTTAAGAACTCTGGCACCCAGTTGGTAAAGAAAGTAGCAGCTATTCCTGTGAAAACATTATCTCAAACAGCAAATGCTGTGGCTTCTACTGTTCAGCCACCTGCTGTAATACGGGTAGGTTGCAAGCTTTATACTGGGTGGAATAAGTGACAGAAAGAAGTGGAGAAAATATGGATGCATTCTTGTTATTTCTAACTGCAATGTGGTTTTCACTAAGCTTGGTAACCTTTGTCCCCACAATAAATTCTTTCCTGAATATATTTTTTAAATGCATAATTCAGTTATGCTTCTGTCAGCATGTGTCAGATAATCTTATCTCACTACAGTAGAAAGCACATGAACAATGAATAAAATAAATGGTTCAGAGAGCCATTTCCAATGCTTTTGTACTCTGACAGATCTCCTTCAATCTCTTGCCGGATCTTTTCTGGGAGATGGAGACTTCCTATTGTGCTCCTGTTGGCGTTCTCTGATTCCTTAAGGGGGAAGGAGGTATACCTGAGATGTTGAGGGGAAAATGAGCTGTCTGTACCAGTCAAGCTGCTTTTCATGTGTATGATCTTTTCCCTCACTAAAAACTGAAGGAAGGTCATACCTGAAGACCTGTTCTGTAACTGAATGTGGCAGATGGGTTCCACAGATACCACTATAAACAGACAGTGGTTGGAAATGCCTTATTATTTTTACGTAGTGTTTTTGTCTTATTTCTTAGGTCTTATTTTGCCTTTTCCAGAGAAAAGTGTTCTAGGACTATTCTGAAGAGACTCTTGCCACCTGTAGAGTATGTGACTTCTAGATACGGTTCATGCTCTGTTCTTGGGCATGTTCCAAACTTCTGGATAAGCTTGAGTGATGAAAAGAAAACTACTTTTTCTCTGCAGATAACATGTTATGTCCTCATAATCTGGAGGAGAAATTGTGAAGAAGTCTGACTTGTACATATGTTTTGTGAACAGCAGTTTAAAGGAGAGGAGACTGGGCTGTAGCATTTGACCAAGCACTCAGTAAATGAGCAGGATCAGTCACTCAAAAAAACACACTGGGTGTATGTTCTTGACCTTGATGGTGTTTGAAGGATTGGGGGATGTGTTTGCTGACAGTGATAACTAACAGTCTGATTTACAAGCTTGTCCTCCTGCTGATCTTCTGTATCAGCAGCTGAAAACTACTCACACTCTGATCTTTTTTCTCTTCCCCCTCACTACAGATGGCTAATGTTGGGGCTAAAGTGGAAAACCCAGCAGCCTCTCTTAATACGTTTTCTATTTTGCTTAGAATAGACATAACATATGCTTTGTGTCTAAGAAACAGGAATGGGTATTCCTTACTCACTTTTAATTTGGAATATCAGCTTGCAAAACATGTGCTTGTGATCCCTGCATAGAGATCTTTAGGATATAAAAACAATAGTCATCTACTATAGTTCCCTTGCACTGGGGAGAAAAGATGGTCATCCATCATCTGATGGATGAAATTGCCTGCATTCTCACACTATCATGTGGATAAATGTTGAGATTCAGCATGCTATTAACTTTTCTTTTTTTAAACTTACCTCTGCCTTTGGCTTGGTTCTTTTGTACTTTTAGTTCAGTTTTGATGTAGTTGGTGTAACTTGTGTTCTGAGATATTTAAAGACATAGACATGGAGTATTTTTTGTAAGCCATTTTTCTTGTCCCCAGTGTAGGAACTTGAACACTTGTAATGAGCTGTAGGGCTGGATTTAAGCAGCAGGAA